CCCTCGGAGAGGGTTTTCCTCAGGCCCTGCTGGGCTGGTGCACCCTCAGAGCTTTTTCTGTAGCAGCTCCCAAACTCACGTTACTTTGGAGACGAGTAACGGTCGCAGCCTGATGAGGAAGAGCGCGCGTTCTGGTCTCCCCGGCCTCGGCAGTCACGGGCACGAGCTCCGGGCGGGCGCGGCCCCGCTGCCGCCGGCGCGCGCATGCGCACGTCTCCCTTCAATCCGGCGACGATCCAGGAGGACGGGTGGCGATGAGGTGACGGGGGTCGGTGGATTGTCCGAGTGAGTAAAATGTCGGCCTGTTGTGTGATAGGGTCACCCGGGGACGAAACGCCGAGTCGGGGTGGGGAAGGAAAGGGAAGGGAATCGGGATGTGATCTTGACGGTAAAGAGGTGTCGAGCTTCAGGAGTTGGGAGAATCTGATGGAAAGTTTCTCTGGAGTGGGATGTCAGTGACAGCTGCGGTAACCAGGGTCGAAGGTTCCTTCAGCCCGTCCACATCCATCCTGCTTGACAGCTTAGACTTTACCCTCGTCTCATCACCTGACATCTCTCTACTTTTTGCTGTAATTTGATCTTAGACTCCTGTTCCACCCATCAGCTCAAATTTCAATTTATTTGGACTGATGGAGACCTCCCAAAACAAAAACTCATGCAATGTTGAGCGGTTGCTATTCAACAAAACTCCTGTGGTCGCTACAGTATGGAAATATAGTGACGACTGAGCATTTGGAGGTTTTATTTTCGTGGCTGTCCCAATTGAGTTTCATAGTTGAATATCGTTTCGTCATTTCCCAAGCCGAAAAATGACGATCTAATTATAGCTAGGTGGGAATAAAGCTTAAATTTAGATATTAACATAAGGTCGATTTGGTTTTTATTTATTCGTTTATGGGATCAGGCGTCCCTGGCTAAACTAGCACTTCTTGCCCTTCCCGAATAGCCCTTGTTGAGGAGGTGGTGATAGCTGCTGTTTGAACTGCTGCAGTCCTTGTACGTATGCGCCTGGTGCCACATTTCTCAATGGTGATGCCCTGCTGTGCTTTTCTAACAGTGTTGACTTCAATAATGGTTAAAGTAATTTGATATGCTATTTGATTATTGTATGTTTTGTGTTTTCACGTTCAGTTATTTTGTGTTTATTAACATTACTTATTAATCCCAATGTTTTGCCAAGCATCTGTTTTTATACAGCAGGAATACCAGCTAGAATATTGCTTCCAATCCTTTTGTCAAATGACTTTCCAGCTTGATGCCCCATTCTGTTCTAAGTGTTCACTACCTGGCATAAAGTCCCCAGTGGCTGAAGCACAGAAAAAAAACTCCAGACGCAATACAGTGTGGAGCTGGAGGAACACAGCAGGCCAAGCAGCATCAGAGGAGCAAGAAAGTTGATGTTTCAGGTCGGGACCTTCTTCAGAAAATTGCTGTGTTCCTCCACGAACATACTGTATTGTCTCTGACTCCAGCATCTGCAGTTCTTGCTATCTCTGAAAAAAAAACTTCAGTTTGCTTATGCATTTTAGAAATTTTTTCCCCCTTAGTCTCCTATAATAATCTACAGACTGCCATTCCACTTGTTGTACAAACCTAGAAATTTAGAACAATGTATCACTTAATTTAGGGCAGAATCTATTATATATTGCACTTTCAGTTGACAAATTAGCCTGATGTTTCTGTAATAGCACCTAATTATTATTGGATTTACATTGATTTAATAACTTCAGATAATAGCAACCTGTTATGAAACACTAAGTAATCTTTTTTTTAATAAGTAATTAATAATGCGTGCGCCTATCATATGTTTCTCGCTTTCTACCCTGCAGCATGGATATATTCACTTTAAAAGGAGGAAATAGATCTTATTTTCCATATTGCTTAAAAATACTATTTGGTGTAATACTGAGCCATCCAGTTCCAAGTCTGATCCTAGCTTGTGTTCAATCAACTAACCTCAACAGGGGCAACCACTGGGTCAGTAGCTACTACCTTAAGATAGGAAAGGGAAGAAAAAAAATGACCAAAAAACTTTGCTCTGGATAGCTGCCTTGTGACGTCTACTGGAAAGTGCTTGAATATGTGTGGATGCGATGCCCTCAACTGTCAAAAGCTTTGTTCGCATTCACTAAAGTGTAAGTAAAATATTACACATGCCCAAAATCTGAAATTAAAACAGAAAATGTTAGCATTCACTACCAAGATGTACATGTATAGAGTGACCTTTTGTTAGAGAAACAGGATAGTGTCAGACATATTTGAACCCTACATCAGTTATTTTTGAGAGGAGTGGAAGATTTTGGGAGTAGTGAGAAGAATTGTAATCTGAAGATGGCAAACAGTCGTTGCCTTTTTAAGTGAAGCAATATTGTATTGTTCAGAGAAAAAGTGAATACATTCCTCAAATTCATAATTACAGTTGCATTTCAAATGGAAATTATATGCAGTTTACAAAAGCAAATTGTTGGAAAATCTCAGCAGATCTGGCAGTATCTGTGGAAAGCAATCAGAGTTAATGTTTCAGGTCCTGTGATCCTTCTTCAGAACAGTTCTGAAGAAGGGTCACTGGACCCAAAACATTAACTCTGAGAGACGCTGCCAGACCTGCTGAGATTTTCCAGCAATTTCTGTTTTGTTTTCTGATTTCCAGCAACAGCAGTTCTTTTGGTTTTATATATGCAGTTTACCTCTCTTCATTGTGAGATGTAAAATACTGGTGCAATGACTGGTCTAAAAGTTGTCTTTTCCTTTCTGCTGTATTGACTTACATTTGGCCATGAAGGTGAATGAACACCTTTTTTGTTTCTAAAAGTAATGTGGAACTGGCGCACGTTTCTTACAGATTAATTGAAATCAACTCAGGCGACCCTGGGGCTGTTTCAAGTGAATAGCCAACTGGAGCATGATTTTTTTTTTAAAAAGAAAGTGGTCTGATGTATATGGCACAAATTAAAACCCTTCCAGGAAGTCCACATGAATATGGTATGAACAATCCTAAATGCCAGAAGTATATTACAAGTGTTACTTGAGGTTTGACTTCAAACATGTTGTGGGATTGTTTATAGGAGTATTAATGCTTATGACTAATATTTATAACTTTTTGACAAGCTTTAGAAATCCAAAATAGGCAGACTTTCTGTTTTTGTTCAGTCAGGTCTAACTTACATTGATTTTACCCTTTGCTGGTTTTGGTCTGGCTTGAAAAATGTAGGTGAGGGTAACTTTTAAAAACAATGAGAACCAGAAAAATATATTGTATACTTATTATCACATTTTAATATAATATTAAACATACTTTAGGTCAGAGGTCTCTAATATTTTAGTCAGATGTTAATGGGATTTCTGAAATTAAATATTTCAGTCTTGTTTTTTGTTACAATATAACATTGACATGAAATAATTTAGCTTATATCCCGACGTATATAATACATCTGCAAAATCATCAGGTGTTTTTTTTATATTTTAGGATTCATGTTATCAAATTACATTTCGGGGTATATGCTGTATTTAAGACCTAATTCTGTGTTGTGCAATTATACAAATATTGTGTGATGAAATTATTTTTCTTAGATTCTGTGTTAAGGTTCAGTCATGTTAATTCAGGGGATGCTTTGAATCTTAAAAGGTTAGTATTGTATTAATTTTTTAAATTAAGATAATAAAACAAAAACCATTGTCTTTTGCTGACTGCCACCTGGTTTATATGGTAATCGTTAATTCTACCCTTCTTATTTGCATCCATTGTAGATTTAACCAGACTGTTTTGCAGCCTTGCAACACTGTTTGATCCTTCTTTCCACTTCTGGCCTCGTAGATATGGCAGCATAAAACTACCCATACTTTAATTCATCTGCTCCCTTTGTCACTTGCAGGCATTACTCTAGTGCTGTTCTGATTAAACTCCTATCCTCCATAAATTACAGCCCATCCAGAACTGTGCTGTCTGTCAGCCATCCCTTAGCAAATTCTGACCAGCTTTCACTTCCAAGCTCGCTGATCTACGTTGCTCCCTGTCCTTCAGTGACTCAAATTTAAAATTTTTAGCTTTATGTTCAAATCACTTCATAACCTCATCCCCCTGCACTACTCACCCCACCCCAAGCACCCCACACTACCCCCTCCCCATCTGATTCTTACAGTCCTTATGGAACAGTATTTTTACAACTCTGATCTCTTGTATAAACCCACCCCCTCACCCCAACCCAAGTGATGAGTGAATAAATCACTGAATTATACAGTGCAGAAGGAGGTCATTTGGCCCATCATGTCTGTACTTGCTCTGCATGTTTTGATTTGGTGCCTGTCTTTTCCTCATAACCATGCTTCATTTCCCCAGTGCACCCAGTAAAGGTGTGACACCTGCCCATTTACTTTCCCCCTCCCCAGTATCTAAGGGCCCAAACATACTTTCCAGAATGCACTTCCCAGAATCTAGTCTAATGCATTCGCTGCTCGCAATGTGGTCTTCTCTACATTGGGGAAACAAAGTGTAGACTGGGGGACTGTTTTGCAGAACATCTTCATTCTGCCCGCAAAAATGAACCTGAACTTCCATTTGCCTTCCACTTTAAATCATCAACCTGACCTGGCAAACATCTCTGTCTCAGACTTGCTGCAGTGTTCCAGCGAACCTCAGTGCAAGCTGGGAAAACAACACCTCACTTTCCGCTTTGGGACCCTGCAGCCTTCTGGACTCAATATCGACTTCAATAATTCTAGGGCCTAAACTCTCCCATGTCCTAGCCTCCTACCCCACACACCAAGACTTGTTATCACATAGCCTTCCATTACACACTACCTATTACTAGTCACTAACAGTCCCCATTAACAGCTGTTCAACCTCCTAGCCAGATCATTATCAACTCCTTTGTCTATCCAACTGCTCCTGTCTGTCTTTGGGCTCTATGCTTTATTCTATCATTTACTCCCTACACCATCTGCCCACCGTGCTCTCCACCCCCCCCCTCCATCTTCTGCATGAAAACCGATGTTTTCCTAGCTACCATCAGTTCTGAGCAAGGGTCACCGGACCCAAAACGTTAACTCTGATTTTTTTTTTCTCCACACATGCTGCCAGACCTGCTGAGCTTTTCCAGCAACATCTGTTTTTGTCCGATGTTTATAAAGCTCTTGGAAGGCAACAAGCCTGTGTATTTCCTGTGTCAAGTTTTTGTCACGTTTTTGAAATTGGATTTCCCAGTCAAATGAAGACTCATCTACGCTGACAGATGTCATCTTCACTTCCAACAACTTGCCACG